ATCAGGACCAATAATATAGATGCTGATTCTTCTTTTGGATCTTATCAACGAGAGAAATAGCAGGAGCACCGGACCATATGTGGGCAATATTCTAAGCAGGATGAATGGTAGGTTTATAGATCAGGACCAATAATATTGCTGATTCTTCTTTGGATCTTATCAACGAGATCAAGGTAAATAGCAGGGACACCGGACCATATGTAGCAGCAATATTCTAAGCATGACGAATGGTAGGTTTATAGATCAGGACCAAATATATTGCTGATTCTTCTTTGGATCTTATCAACGAGATCAAGGCAAATAACAGTGGCACCGGACCATATGTGGCAGCGATGTTCTAAGCATGGATAAATGGTAGGTTTATAGATCAGGACCAATAATATTGCGGATTCTTCTTTGTATCATATCAAGGAGCTCAAGGTAAATAGCAGGGGCACCGGACCATATGTAACAGCAATATTCTAAGCAAGGATGAATCGTAGGTTTATAGATCAGGACCAATAATATTGCTGATTCTTCTTTGGATCTTATCAACGAGATCAAGGTAAATAGCAGGGGCACCGGACCATATGTAACAGCAATATTCTAAGCATGGATGAATGGTAGGTTTATAGATCAGGACCAATAATATTGCTGATTCTTCTTTGGATTTTATCAAGCAACTCCCGGTAAATAGGAGGAGCATCGGAAATATATGTGGCAGTAATATTCTAAGTATAGACGAATGGTTGGTTTATAGCTCAAGACCAATAGTATTGCTGATTCTTCTTTGGATCTTATCAAAGAGTTCATGGAAAATCGTGGGGATCTGGAAAATATGTGGCAGCAATATTCTAAGTATGGACGAATGGTAGACATAAATATTTATGATAGATTCTGGAGAGAAAAACTGCCTTGCACGAAAGAGTGAACAGACTTTCCAGCTGACCTAGCAATAGATTCAATATAGTCTTTCTACATCATGTCAGCTGAGAACGTGAGCTCGAGAAGGCTCAACGAATCACTTTCTTGGAGGTTATCATCAGCCATACTGATGGAAGACAGCGAGGGATCTCTCAGATGAATTTGTCATTATTTTTCATTCACTTTACACACGCATACACACATAAATACAACTTAAACGACGCCGGAAAATGGCTGTCTTCTTGTACCACTCTAGAAAGTACCTAACTTTTTTTGACTTTTTTTTTTTTTGCTACTCTCTATCTTTACAAGAGTAAGATCTGACCAAAAATGGAGTAATACTAACATATCTGGGCAAGGGCTGTCCAATCCTCATTTTCCAGCCTTGACATTTCAAAAGTGTTTACGTAGCACTAAGGGTGATTAATTATTTTCCACCCTGCAACCCCTTTCCTCACAGAGTCAACGTCGCAAGCATGTCTCTATATTTATAGCAAATGTTCAGGCGAGCTCCATTATTTAAAGTCACCATCTCAGAACTTACAACCAAGACACGCCTTGCTCTGTCCACAGGTTTTACTCAGAGCTGGATTTAGATGAAGAGAGACCCTAGGCTATTCCATTTGTGAGACTCCACCCAAATCCCTCATTCTCACGAGTAGAGAAAAATGGAAGATTGTTAAATTAAACGTTTCAATAGCCTCATCTACCATAACTCTGTGTCACATCAGAAAGTCTTTCTCGCCTGAATCAATCATTCAAATCTACAAATCACCCATTCGTCCTTGCATAGAATTCTGGTGCCCCCGTTGTTCGTCTCGAGGTCCTCGACAAAATGCAGAAACAGATATTCAGTGTGATTGGTCCTAATCTGGCATCCCGTCTACAGTCACTCTCTTACAGACGTGCTGTAGCTTTCCTCTGTCTTTTCTACAAGTATTTTCACGGCAACTGCTCCGACAAGCTACTTTCATTGGTTCCGAAACTGAATGAATTTAAGCGTACTACTAGTTTGGCATCTCGGTCGTACTTTTTGGAAACGGTTAAATGTAGCCGTCTCTTCTACCCCAACAGCTTCTTATCTCGCACTTCCCGTCTGTAAAACTTCCTCTCACTTGCTTCCCTGATAGCTATAATCTTCAAATGTAATGTCAATCGATATTTTCTGATGCCTTGATCTTGTTCCCCGCCCTTCTCTTTATCCTTTCCTCAAACATGCCTCTTTAATTTTGCATCCATTCTCTGTAATCCCGTTGTGTGCTAGTGGCACTCTTGCTTTGCTTGGGGTGAAATGCTTAAAAAAGCTGTGGATGATGATGGATGTTTAAAATTACTGAAAAAAGTTGTTTAGAAGCTACAGTGCGTTATGACAGTATGTGTAAGAAAGGCCTATGACAGTGACAAAATATTATACACCTTGGCTGGAGGTCCCCTAGATTTCGAGGGCCTAGGCTTCATCTTGCTAAACTTATGAATAAATCCGGCACCGGGTTTATTCCTCATTATTTACGTGTTCCTTTGGTAAGAAAGGTGTTCCATTCCAACGGTTTATTCGTAAAAAAAAAAAATACAAAAAAAAAAAAAAATGTATTAAACTATTATCATTTAATTACAAAAGTTCTTAATTGCTCTTATGAATAATTTTTATGGATACTATTGTCTTAAGAATAAAAAAAACTTTTGTTTAATAATGAATTTTTACAAAAAATTGTTTTCATATTTTTATTTTAATTAGAATAATTTATAAACTTTTAAATCTTTTAAAATACTTTATTAATTTGTAGTGGTCAAGTGATATTGTTATTTGATTAAAACTCTATTTACTAATCATAAATGGAAAAAAACTCACTACAATTCAATGTGCCCCAGTATTTTTTGTAAATACGGACATCTATGCACATTATCAAAAAATAATACCTATAGTAAATTTAAACTTTATTGGTAATTGTCAAATATTTTCTCAACAAGTACTTTCGTAAGTCTAAAAAGCAAACTTTAATAAAATATTAAAAGGCTTAAAATATTTAAACTTACTGAGTAGTAAACTAAATATATAAAAAAAAAGGTATTCACATTGCATTCGTCATATAATTTTTCTAGTTATTGTCTTCAGTTTATCATGCGAGATTATTTTAAGGCGTCTGACACCAGTATTGTTCGACAGCATACTATAGTTGTATCTGCGATTACAAAGTCTCTACTACAACGAGTATTACGAAAGTGGCAACGAGCGAGAACAATAAAAGAGAAGAATTTAAGGTGACAGAAGACAACGATTGATATTGCATACATAACTTGTATGTTGCTGTGGATATTTGGAAAAAATACCTTGAAAAACTTATCATTTCTTCCTTAGTGAAAATAATTTATATACAGTGTGAGGCAAAAGTTGCGCACCATAGAGATAATTCACTAAAAGTAAGATTATGCATGAAAATTTTATTTACTAGTTATTTAATTGTTATATGCGCTGTTCAAAATGTCCTTCTCCTTTTTCAAAACACATTTCAATTCTGCGTTTGAATGATTCATTAACAGGTCGTAGAGTTTCCTCTGTCATTTTAATGCATTCATATTTAATTCTTTCTTTAAATTCCTCTATGTTTCTTAGATGGGTCACATAAACAACTTTCAAATAACCCCACAGAAAAAAAAATCCATGGTTTTGAGGTCTAGTGACCTTGCTGGTCACTCAACAGGACCTCTTCGTTTTTTTCATTAACTCCTATAGCGTGCGACTTTTGTCTCCCACATGTTGTAATTGTATTTTTAAACGTCTGGCAATTATCTTAATACAATACATATGTGTGTTTCTAGTAAGTTAGATATGGCCTGATGATTTTATATGCCGCAAGACAAATAGCTATTTTAAGACATTTTTATGTTCATACATTCTTTTTTATAGAGCATTTACTTAAATATTTGTATATATAAAAACGAATATATAAACATAAAAATGTCTTAAAATAATTGTCGGACTTTGTCCATTTCATAATGTGTGACGTCATTTGTTTACATTTGGATTTGCATCGAGCAGATATGAATGTACGAGAGAAAATCATGGAGAATTGTAGTTTAAAAACAGTAAAATCGACCTTGCTAACCGAAACGCTCCTCTGTGGCGAAATCGGTAAAAGCACGTCATGCTATATGACGATTCCGTATATGGTACAGGATCGATTCCTGTCGGAGTACGCATATTTTCTATGAAAATTTCTCGGACATTCAGACCGGTAAATGTTGTTAATGCTGAACAGAGCATTTACTTAAATATTTGTATCTATAAGAAAGAATGTATAAACATAAAAATGTCTTAAAATAATTGTCGGACTTTGTCCATTTCATAAATAACTATAGCAAAATCCTCCATTTTTTTTTTTTTTACCTAAATCTGTGCAGCTAATTTTGGTAAAATAAATGACTTTGACAAAATGGCGTCAGATAGTACTATGTAAAAAAACAATGCTGAGGATGCACCATTCATAAATTTAATTTTATTTACTAAACTAAAGAATCAATCTTATAGATATCAGTGAATGCTAAACTGATATGTAATACCTAAATTCCTTTAAGGCAATTAATGTCATAAAACCTCAACACTGATGCAGAAGAAACCTGAAGCGACAGAGACGTGGTCCTACAGAATGATACTGTGAATACCATAGACAGAACATGTGAGAAACGAGGAAGTTTTAAGGAAAATAGTAATCGGCAAGAAAACTTATACTTGTAATCGGAAAGAGGCAGTTCAAATTACTGGGACACAAAATGAGGAAAGAGTGCCTAGTGATTCTAACACTCACGGGACACACTGAAGACAACAGAAACAGGGGACCAGCTTAACAATTTTTTGGTAAATAGATGGCAGAATGAGGAAAAAGAGGTATTCTGAAGAGTCGAAAAATTCCTTAAAGACAGGAAGTTGTGGAGAGCAATGATCGCGCACGAGCTGAAAGGACTTGGCACACAAAAGGAGACTTTCTTTGATACCTGATTGTTATTGTAATGTTATATTCATATTTTAGCCACATAAAATTTCAAAGGGACAAGTGCCTTTGGCTTTGTTTATGGAGTAATGGCCTACATTTTCCTTGCAGACAAATCACCGAAGACAAAAGTGGAATCATCCAAGTAACTGGCCAGTAAGTAGAACTTTTGTTAAGGCACCGATTTTCAGAGAACTTAAAACGATTACTTGGTTACTTATTTTACTGCATCATTTTTACTTATTGCCACTTGACGTAAACAATAGTTAGTTACTGCATTATTTAAACAAATTAATCGTAAATAATCAAGAATGCCTTTTTATAGCCATCTATCACTTGTTGCAAAGTAAATTCCTTGTTTACATTTATATAAGTAGCGTAGTAATCGTTCTAAGTTACGCGGTTAATCGAAATAAGTAATCTGTTGTGTTTTTGTTAAAGTGATGGTGTCGTACCAGTTCTAAGGTAACTTAAATTTAATTTCAATTTGTGAGTTATCTACATAAGTTACGATCTCTCTTACTTTTAGAAAACAAATCTTTGTCTCTTCATGACGTAGACGATCATGGCTCTCCACAGATTCCTTTTCTTTATTATCTATCAATTGCTATGCGTTCTAAAGAAAGAACATTTCCAATTGCCTTCTCCGAGCTTTGCTATTCAGAGTTTTTCTTCTCTAAAACTGGTTGCCACCCAAGACTTGAGAACCAATTTGCCCTGCTATTTAACCCATATTTAGGGGATAAGATTTGACTCATCTATTAATGACGTCAGAAAATGAAGACGCTTTCTCTGCCTCAGCAGATCTCGCTATTGAAACAATTTTACATCTCGCGTGTCTTTTATTTATTTATTTTTTTTAAGCAGCACATCCCCACGGGTGGCTATGCTTAGAGGTGGGTGTTTTTATCGTGCCCCTATCTAGAGATAGATTTCCAACCAAGGCTGAAGAACTTCTAGCAACCATCGACGGCTTCCAAACAATTTCGTCTGCCCAATTTCACCCACAAGGCTTTAGTCAACGCGTGGCATGTTTTTAAGGTATTTCGTAATGGCGACACACGCTGGAAGCATTTCCCAAGATGATATTATCAAGAAGTTAACTCTTTGACAAATCGATAATGGGGAAATTCGAAACCAAGTTCTCATGGCCGGAACGCTAACGCACTAACCATTCGACAACGCACCTACGGAAGTCAAAAAATAAACTGCTAACTGACGGTGGGAATGTTACTGAAGTCGAGATGCCAGTTCAGCACCCATGATATTGCAGATATCTAGATACATAGCAGAAACACTAGACCAGATGTGGCAGCAATATTCAATGTATGGACAAATGGTAGATGTATAAGGATGCTGGACACAGTGAACCAACTTTCCTAGCAGCACACCTAGCAATTCATTCAATACAATTGTTCCAGTTCACATCTGCGGAGTGTCTCATTCCGCTTTCCTAGTTTAAGAAAGCGCAATGAGACACTCTCCTGGAGGTCAGCATCAGCCATACTGATGAAAGGCAGAAAAGTTTCTCTTAGACAATTGACTTTCTCTTAATTGCTGTCTTTGTTTACCTACTTGCAGTTAATTAAAAACTTACAATCCTTATTTAGTTTTATGCACAGATTGTGAAATGATTCCAGGATGTAATTAACTGTAAACTTATGATCTTACCCCAGAATAAAGAGAGTTCATTTTTGATTAGCATGACACATCAACTGACAATATGTGTCAAGCTAATCAATTATCCCCAGTCTAGATTTAAAAAGATTAATTGATTATTTGTAAAGTGGGGCGGGGGGATAATTAATAACAAAAAGTCAGACGTAAATCAAGCTCATGCTTATCACCGGGAGGAAAGGGTATAAAAAAATTATATTTATCTCATAAATATAAATTTTATGATTATAAGATAACTCTTATTTCTACAGTTATGTATAATGCGTGATACACGCTTAGGCGATCATGTATTTTTCGATGCATGACGGACGAGGCAGAGTTTTTTCCCGCAGTAGGTTGCCATTTCTTTCTGCGATAGACAGGTTGCCATCCAAGGCTATAGAACCCGGTCTGTCCTGCTATTTACCTATAGCTGGGAGAAGGAGAAGAGGATTCATACCATTCCCAAGAGTCAGTCAGTCAGGTGCCATACGTGATACAGACTTAGGCGATCATGTATCTTTCGATACATGACTGACTAGGCAGATTTTTTCTGCAGTAGGTTGCCATTTCTTTCTGCGGTAGACCCGTTGCCATTCAAGGCTATAGAACTCGGTCTGTCCTGCTATGTACCCATAGCTGGGAGCGGGGAGAAGAAGAGGATTCATACCTTTCTCCAGCTATCCATTACTCCACCGTGTCTCCAGGGAGGCACGGTGGAGTAATGGATAGCGGCTCGGACTGAGGAATCGGAGAGCCGAGTTCGAATTTCAGTCGAATCCATTATATTCCCTTACGTGCTAATACCCTTGGGAAAGGTATGAATCTGCTCCTTCTTCTATGTCAATGCATGGACAAACGGTAGACTTATAAAGGTGTAATATAAATTCAAGCTAGAAAAATTGTCTAGCACGACACAGTGACCCAACTTTCCTAGCAGAAGGCCTGTGCGTAATCAAGTAGGCTTAGGATATCTGTAATCTGTGTTGTGTTCCATGCGACACGTGGTTTGCTAGGGACTGCAAAGCTCCTCAGTTGAGAAACAAGACACGTCCTGCCTCTAATGCAGCATGTGACTAAAAGAGGAAAAGAAACGAGAAAGACTCTTGCACTCTTTTCTTATATACTGCTTTTGACAACGGTATCCTGTCGTCGTTAACAGCAGTTCTTTAGCACACAAGTAAGGTGATCCCATAAGCTGAACGGTCTACATGCCATGCATAAATGAAACGAATTGATTATGCAATATTGCGGGTGTAGATACAGGAAAAATTTATTGGTGTATTATTTCACTCTTTGTTGCGAAGTAATTTGTGGCTGTCTTCCACCACATTTATTTAATTTTGATTAGGAAACCAAACTGATGTGAAGAAAGGACAACGCAAAAGTATCATTATATATAAAATTGTATTCAACAATGCATACAATAAAGAATGTGTAAGAAAAATCATGCAATGTATAAGTCGAGAGTTGTCTCTCTTTGACTATCAAAGTTCTCTGAAAAGGAAAGAGTTAATAGTTATAAATGTTTTGTAACAGTTTTGCTGTAAGCGTAAAGGAATATGCAGTTTGTGAGTTGAGTGAGAAGATCAGCGCATAGCTTCAACTGTCACGGATTTCTGTGGCAGCTAAAGTCTCACTGGCGCGTCTATGGTTTTCTCTTGCTTTTATATGTGATCATTGGATCAGGAGTGCTGTGCGGGAAGAATCACTCTTCACATACAGAGAATCCGATTGGTTGACACTGACCAATCAGTGAATGAGCTTTGGGGAGATTTCTGGGAGACGATTCTCCCAAAAGTGCACAAAATCTTCTATACGAAAATATAGCGATTTCAAAATTGTCGCATAAGACAGTAGCTTTGATTTTTATCCAATGAATGATTGTTATTGAAATTTGAATTTGTGTAGGTATGTATGTGTCTGTGATGATGATCGCTATAAATTCTTTGTTTTGAAATAATTCAAATAATTTCCAAAGTGTCTATTTTTGTTTAATTTCTTCTCTTTAACTATAAAATTAATTTATTTCATATAAAAATTAAATAATTATGAAAAAACTGTCACTCATTGAGTGATCGTCAATTGTTGAAGCGATATATTCATGTTGATAGCATGTAGATTGATAGATATGTTTTTTACGGCTTATCAACCTTTTGCGGGTTATTTTATTTAAAGCCAGGAAATATTTTTGGATTGTAAGAATTTCGTTTCTTTTTTTAAAAAAAAAACAAAAAAAATGAGTTACTGATACAAGCCCTACTATTTAACCCACAATGGGGAGAGAATATACGAGTATTTGCGCGTAAGTGAATATAACGAACCCGATTAGAATTGGAACTCAGCTCTCCAATTTCCTATTGCCCACCGTTATCCATTGCACTACCCACACATCCAAGCTTACAGCACCTGGTATTCCCAAGCGGTCATTCATCAGGCTCAATGCTGCTTAATTTCGGTGATCATACAAGAACCGGTGTTTCAACGAGATATGGCCGTAAGCTGACAAGATATACTATAATATTAGTTGATAGTTAGGATAGTTGATATGATAGTGTACGCATTAGTGTCAAACAAATAATTACGTATAATTAAAAACACCGTGGCTTATTTGTCTATATTTCTGAGATGAGCTATTGTAACTATTTACACTATTTACATTCTTCGGATTGTTGCCTTCATTTTTATTGACACATTCACAACGCTTCGGCTGTTGTACGCTCCAGCCTTCTTCAGGTGTTATTTGTTTGAATTTCAAACTGAACCCAGAAAAGTCAATCTGTATTTTAGCATTCCTGAAGATTGATTCGGTGACGTTTGTGGTTCTCAAACTTTTTGAAGTCGGGGCGTACTTGAAATCCTACCAACAATTTCGGAAAAATATGTTATAATGAAGTCAGATATTGCAGAAAAGAAATAATGCAATAAAATATATATATATAATAAAACATACCTTAAGTTTATTCCTTCTTGTGTTGATGAGAAACATGAGCCTGGTGAGTCTTAGCGATTTCTTCAATGTTTGGGCGTATATTTGATAGGCAAACTCTCATTTCCCCCTCAATACATTGAAGAGTTCCTCTCTTTTTGTGCTTAATTGTGGTTTGATTTGGTTTGGTTTGTTTTACGGTATATCAACCTCAATGGGTTATTTAATGCCGACAAGATTTTTATTCCTGGTAATATTTTTTTTCCAAAAGCGTACTGCTGGTAAGTTTTTTTTTCAAAAATGTATTACTGGTAATAATTTTTTACAAAGTATTTCTGGTATTAAAACCTATTTTTACACTTTCATAGTGTTTTGACCTCAGTTTGGGGAGTTAACTATTTACCCATAGCTGGGACCCTAACAGGCGCTACCACCCCGGGTCAGGGTGGACCTGGGAACACCAGCAATTAAGAGGTGGTTTCACGCTCCTCAAAACCTCCGGATCAGAGGCCTTGCTGCTGGATGTAGTTTATCATCTTATTCAGGACGCATTTTAATTGTGGTGAGAGCAGAAAAGCCCAATTCACATAAATATGGACGAGACTAGTACCGCAATATTATAAAGTAAATATATTTATTTCTTATATTTGGACACATATTTCTCTGGAAGATGCCATGGCGCACTTAGACATCTTCCAGGGCGCACCATTTTAGAACTACTGGTGTAGACGTTATTCCCATGTTTATTTCCTGAAATGGGCTGACATGTATCGTTAGTTAGATCCAGTAACAGGACCCAAAGAGTGTGAGTTCAATACCTGGTTAAGGCAGTGGAGAACTTGGAGAGGGGAATTAGCAGGAGATAACTGATGAGTGAGATCCATTAAAAAACATGGCACGTAGAACTAGAACAGTCTACCACAGTATGCGAAATAAAGGGTTTTTGCCGACATTCCAACCACCTGAAGAAGGCCGAAGCGTACAACGGCCGAAACGTTGTAATAAATATGGCGACAAAGATGAGGACAATAGTCTGAATAATGTAAATAGTGTACATGATACATCATCTCAAAAATATAGACTGATTTTAAATAATCTGTGAGGAATATGATTTTAAAAATGGATATTTTAAAAATATAAATTCACAATTTTTCCTTTGTGCTTTTTTATTCGTTGTGTATTTATGTATATGTTTTGTCTTCGATTGAGGTCTGAAGAGGGAGGAGTGATAAACGATTCGCTATTTTGTTGTTACTTTTTTTGTTATATTTTTCGATTCACCACTTTACGCTGCGTGATTATTTTTCTTAACCTTTCTCTTCTTACCGGCTTTTTTAAATATATATTTGTATATATTATATGAATATATTTTCTGTTTATACGTTATTTTTATAGATACAAATATTTATGTAAATGCTCTGTTTCTAATAAGCAGTATAAACAACATTTACCGGCCTGAATGTCCAAGAAATTTGGTAGAAAATATGTGACCTCCGACAGAAATTGAACCTGTATTCGACACAGAACCGTCATATAGCCTGCCGTGCTATACCATTTAGTTACATATGAAGCGTCTGTTTAGCGAGGTCGAATTACCAATTTTATACAACAAACTTCCCATGATTTTTCTCGAAGGCTCATATCTGCTCGAAGCGTATCTTAGCGTAGACCAATGACATCATATATTATGAAATGGACTAAGTACGACAATTATTTTAATATGTTTTCTGTTTATACGTTGTTTTTATAGATACAAATATTTAAGTAAATGTTCTGTTTCTAATAAACAGTATTAACAACATTTACCGGCTTGAATGTCCGAGAAATTTCATAGAACATATACTTAAATATTTGTATCTATAAAGATAACGTATAAACAGAAAATATATTAAAATAATTGTCGGACTTAGTCCATTTTATAATATATATATATATATATATATATATATGTACGTTTTTAAAGCCATGACATTGAAAAATGTCCCTCTTTTGAAAATTCACGCTGATCATTTTATCCTCCAAAAAAAGCAGTGACTCATATCGACATTCCAACCGTATGCCTTTATATTCTGAATAGCTTTCAACTTAAAAAAAGTTTACGATTGTTTGAATTATCACGGCACCAAAACACATCAATATTTTCACCATCTTAATTGTTGAGCGCTAAGGATGTTAATTAACGTCCCACTTTTGAAAATTCACGCCTTGGCATCATTTTTCCTCCAAACACAACTGTGGCTGATACCAGCTTCCTATAATGCGATTTAGTCACTGGGAAATTCCCACTGTTCTTAACCTTTGATTAAACAGGACAATCACACATCGTCCGTGCTGAAGGTGTTAAAGATTTAATAGTAAGAGAGTCATTTGTTCAGTTTTAATGAATGAAGCATGAAGTTTTATGTGGAATCCATTTTGTTAAAAAATCATTAATTATCTCCGTAAATACAACGAATGCCTCTGATTTTCTTTTTCATAGACAAATTATGCAACTCAACCTCAGGAATACGCCACGCCTACTCAGAACTTTGCATCTCAAAGTGTAAGATGGCCACTCGACCTTAAAGATCTCGACACTGACGAAGGTGAGCTTTAGTGACTTTTGGTCAATATTTATTTCTTTATGAAAAAAACTTTAATTCTCAGCAAGGTCCTCCACACTTTGTACTCATTACAATATCTTGCGCAAGATACTAAATTTGATTCCTGTTTCGTAGCCATCAGACATTTTGGGAATTATTATTAAAATCCAGGTGACTGTTCTTGGGTGACATCTGATCACTTTATTTCTTTGTGAAAAAAATTCATTTTCAGGAAGATCAATCCACACTTTGTACCCATGACTCTCTCCTTTAATATGATGATACCAAGTTTGAATCCCATTTCATTTTTTATTATCCTATTAATTAGTGACTTTACTTTTTGTAACATAGAAATTAAATTTTCAATAACCTGACAGAATGTATTTTCCATAAATCGGAGAATGATAATTTCAAATTACGTGAGATGACAATAGATAAGAAAACAGAACGTATCTCTTACGTATATTCAATGACTAGCAGTAGAGCCCGGCGTTGTCCGGGGATGTAACAGTAAGAGATAGATCAAGTATCGACCATCATAAAGACTGAAAAATAAAATTGCCAAAGATTATTGTTTAAGGTTGACGGACACGCATGTCTTAATTAGTTTTTTTTTTTTTTTTTGTTTATTTATTTTACGAATTGGTCAAACCCAAACTCAAACAAAAACATTGTTTTCAATCGTTATGAGTCTACCGATTGAATAGAATTTTATTATAAATAATTGTCTTGTAAATGGAATTTTTAAAGCATTCTAAATGTAAAAATAAAAAAAAAAAAGTGTGCAAGACAATAAGAAACACTACCTGAAAAAAAAAAAAAAAAGTGAAGTTTTATTTGAAATCGGTTGAAAAATGTAGGAAATCCGATCCCATATATAAACGAACACACACACACACACAAACAACCTAGGTTTTATAATAAGTATAACTCGATATGAGTTGTCCCCCTTTAATTCTGGCGACAGAATCGTATTTTATCGTGTTTTCAAATTGATTTCGTCCAAAAACAATTTATGTTTTTCCAATTTTTGTCAGAACCACCGCAAGGTAATTTTACGCAGTCCTGTGAAGTTTTGTTGAAATCGGTTGAAAAATGTAGGAAATCAGATCCAATATATAAACGTACACACACACACACACACACACACACACACACACACACACACACACACACACAATCTGCGTTTTATAATAAGTAAGATGTTATGATTGAAAAAGGCATGAAACAAAAATTGCCCTTGTCACGTCAGGGAATAGATGTCTAATCAAAACAATTTTTGCCTTAAATTAATAATGAAATTCAAATTACTGAGATGAGAAGTTATCGTTATTTGCACTATTTACATTCGAACACATCTTTGTTATTGTAGTTTTTGTTACAACGTCTCAGCCGTTGTGCCCTCCAGCTTTCAATCATATGTATATATCGGTTTAGCTATCTGAGAGAAGTCTTTATATTGCATAAAGAGTTCAGTTCAGAATCCCCTATAGGTTACCCAGACTGATATATACACCTGATGAAGCCTGGCGGGCACAACGACCGAAACGTTGGGATAAAAACAACAATAATCCGAAGTGTAGATAATGAAAATAAATTTGTACGTTCTTGGATTCTTGTTTTCCTTATATATATATATATATATATATATATGAGGAAAATTTGTTATATTTATTGGAGATAGAGCATTAGATATAAAGAGTGTGCACATAGGTATCACCACTCTCTTGGTAACTCTCTCTCTCTCTCTATCCCTGCGCGAAATTAAAAATATAAAATTGTGACAATTTACCTATCGCACCGTGCATACACACACACACACACACACATATATATATATATATATAAGTTTAAATAATCTGTACACATCAGAGTAGTTTTCAACAGCACAGCTACTTTTCAAAATACTCTTCATGAAGTTGTCGCCTCATGAGACGAGTAGATGACCAGAGGCTTTCTATATAATATTCCAGTATAATTCAGCCATGAATACAGAACACATAACAGCTTTCCTACTCAATAAATATAGGAAAGACAGAAGGTTTAATAGAAATGTCTGGTATCACAGACTGTATAGATGAAGACGGGATCACACTGCTTTCTCAATACTGAAAAACGGTATAAACCAAACTAGTGACAATTTCTTTTCTTATCAGGATGATCTTCAAAAAATTAAATGCAATGTCAATCGTTATCTTCTGTCTTCTTAATTCCTGTTCTTTTATTGTTCCCTCTTGTTAATAATGTTTTCTTTTTCTCAAATTCTCTCACACTAAGTAACGCCTTGCGTCTTAGTGACTTTATCACCTTTACTGGAGTGAAAAAATAATTAAGAAATGTCCTGACCCTATTCTCTTCGGGCAGCTGGAAGATAAAGAGACAGGGGACCGGTTTCAGGTACTACATATACTTTTGTTAGCTGTCTTGTACCAGGAAAAATAGTGTCCAGTGTAATATGAGGTAAATTTTTATTGTGTCTTAATATGAAATTATCAAAAATATTTTTGCAGTGTTTTAATTTACATATAAATTGTTCATTTTTAGGGACACACACAGAAATTTTAAAACATGAGAAAGGCAAGGATAAGCTTGAACTAAGTGACCCTATTGAGCACTTGGAAACAGACATCCAGTTGTCTTCGGTAAGAACGCAATCTACATTAAAAATTGTTAATTTTCAGTGACCCAGACTTTGTATATATATATATATATATATATATATATATTGGGAAAAAGCCTGGGCATAGATTAATATTTGGATAATATTCAATAAGGGACTCTCGAGGATTTTCCTTCTGAATGAATTATTTTCTTTTTTTGACTAATTTAACTATCTTTACTCATGCACTAGTCATACATAAAAAAATAAATTCAACCACAATTTTGATTTTAAAAATGCTACACTCATAAAAAAAGAAAATAACTCACTCAGAAGGAAAATCCTCGAGAGTCTTGCTATCGAATATTTATATATACATATATATGTGTGTGTTTGTGTGTGTGTGGAGAGAGAGAGAGAGAGAGAAGGTGCATCTGTAAAGGAACAAAATGAATAAAAAAGACACGAGGAAAAACTATTCTCAGACGACGCGTTTCGTCCTCTGAGGGACTTTATCAAAGCAATGTAGAATTTATTTTGTTCCATGTGTTTATATACAAAAGCGAGGGTGTCATTGGTTTATCAAGGCTTTTAACTTTGAGAACGTTAATGAATGTTAATCAGGTCAGTCAAAATATGTGGAGGACACAAGTGTCATAATTCAAAGCACGGTGGAGTAATGGAGAAATCTGAGAGCCGAGTTCGAATTCCAGTCAGATCCATTGCATTCACTTACGTGCTAATACCTTTGGGAAAGGTATGAATCCTCTCCTTCTTCCTCGCTCCCCAGCTATGTTTAAATAGCAGGACAGACCGAGTTCTATAGCCTTGGATGGCAACTGGTCTACCGCAGAAAGAAATGGCAACCTACTGCGGTAAAATCTTTTCGTCTGTCATGTATCGAAAGATACATGATCGCCTAAAAGTGTATCACGCATGACACATAACTAACTGAGTGATGAACATTCATGAACGCTCTCAAATTTAAAAGCCTTCATAATGACATCCTCACTTTAAAAAAAAAAAAACACGTGCATCAAAATACATCATACGTTGCCTTGATAATGTTCCTCAGAGCACGAAACGTGTTTATTAAGGATAGTTTTTCCTCTTGTCTTTTTATATTCACACACACACACACACACACACACACACACACACACACATACATATATATATATATTTATATATATATATATACATAAAAGTGTGGTTAAATGAAGAGTTGTCGAGCCTGAAAGTGAAAAAGAAGGAAAAGAAATAGTGAAAGAGTCTAAGGAGAGAAGAAAATGACGAAAAAGAGAAATACCCGTGACGTTTGACATACGCGCATACATACAAGCACACACGCAGGCATACACAAAGCACGCACACATACACGAAACACACACGCACAGACACGTGCGTACAAAAAGAGGAAAAAATCAAGATAACACCAATAATAAGAGCATCCCAACTCGCACATAAATAATTATACTAAAACTTAGTATTATGAGAAAAACGGCTGAAACCTCCTGAAGAGCGGAATGCACAAATTATTGAGGAGATTGTCTACGAAACTATGTTATTGTGGTGCTGGTTATACCATCAATTACCTGACAAATTTTATTTGCATTAATCTTATATATATATATATATATATATATATATATATATATATATATTTTATTTCATGAAAGCTTTAAAAAACACCTCTCAATCTTCAAGGCAAACAAAGGGTAATCAGTAAAAAATGACGTATATAGTAATAACAGCAATAACAAACTGCGTTGGATTAAAAATAAATCAATTAGTTAAAAATTATTACATGTTTTTGTTGTAACTCCCTCCTAACACTTATAATATTGTCTTGCTTAGGCTACTCACCGTGACGTCATTAGGATTCTTCCCAACTGAAAATTTACTCCTATCTTCTAAAATAAGCAGAAAACGTAATTCCATCATCTGAATTGTATGTAAATTCAGTTATGGTATTTGCTACCGATTCAGTCAGTTTTGTGACATGTGTGATACATGACTGACGAGTGGGTTGCCATTTCGTTCTACGGTAGACCAGTTGCCATCCAAGGCTATAGAACCCGGTCTGTCTTGCTATTTACCCGTAGCTGAGGTGGGGGAGAAGAACAGGATTCATACCTTTCCCAAGTGTGTTAGCACGTAAGTAAAAGCAGTGGATTCGACTGGAATTCGAACTCGGCTCTTCGATTCCTCAATCCGAACCGCTATCCATTACTCCGCTGTTGCCACCGCATAGGCGTGAAAAAAGAGATTTTTCCGTTTTCTTCTGTATTATTTCAATTAAATTTTGTTGTTCCTGGAGTTCCAACAACTATTGCTGTTGCTGTTGTTGTATTTTTATTCACTTGAGCTAATAATTCTTCTTTAAAGAATATCTGGGTTTTTGTTCCTCTTTCGTCTTTCTTTTTTTTTCTTTCTTTTTTACACACACCAAAGAAAAAAAATTAAACCAACATGATTCTAATTTCTTGTCGTCACTGTTATTACGTGCGCCGAAGCAAAAACTACTTTTTCCTACTGTGTATTTTTTTTCGATCCCTTGCCGCCACTATTATAACTTGTAACACTATTTGGGTTGCTGGTAATTAATAATCAAAATGGCGATTTGAAAACGAGATAATAATACTTTTTCCTACTCCATGAGTTTCGATTCCTCATGGCCACTGTTATCCCAAAATGAAGTCAGATTAACTTATACAATCCCTTGTATGTATTTATAGTTATTAACTTTGAACATTGTTCTTCAAACTGTATTTAAAAATACGCTTCAGAAAGATCCAGCTTTGGAATTGTTTTCCAGTATCGTGTACGAAAATAAAGCTTAACTTCGAAAGGTCCCAACAAAGGGAAAATTGAGCTATGCTTTGCTTTAGGTGACTACTTGGCTGCAATATGGTTTTGTGATTCAATCCCTGTCCAAAGATATATTTTCTTTAATATTACTTTTGATATTGTAGGGCGGAAGACATTAATTTAATTGTTTAAAACAAAACTGATACCTTCTCAAATATGGGTACCCACAAAAAATGTCTGTAATAATAATAAAGTGTGTATTCGAGCAGCAAAAGTTGTTGCCATCACAACGTTTCGGCCATTGTACCCTCCGGCCTTCCTCAGCATATATCAATCTGGGTAAAGTACAGAGAATTTTGAACAGAACCCTTTATTAATTCTACAGATTTAAACTGTTTTCCTTTAATTGCCCATGTCTAAGAGATATCTCGTCTAGTTCTTATTTTTAGTACTGCTCAGTTATTGCTTACCCTGTTTCCAAGGAAACACTGCCCAGCCCAGGGATTGAACTCACAATTACTATGTCACCAAATTCAGAAACCTATGCTTTAATCCACTAGGCTATTGTCGATTAAATGAAGGGTTCAGTCCAGAATTCCATGTAGGTTACACAGATTGATCTATACCTGATGAAAACAGTTCTCGTTCCACTGCCCATGTCTAGGGAATATCTCGTCTAGATTTTATTCTTTAGTATACAGTTTATATATATATATATATATATATATATATATATATATATATATATATATATATATATATATATATATATATATATATAACAAAATAACGAATATCATATTTTCAATTGGTTTATATATATTTGATACAAATATATATATATATATATATATACTATATATATTTATAATACGCCATGGACGTTTCTTATGACTTCTTCTTTTCCAGCTTCTTCTGGTCAGTACTGCTAACGCTTCTTCAATTGATGGCTTCTTCTGATTTGAGCTTCTTCTGGATTCCACTTTTTCCTACATCTGATTCAGCAAAACTCACGTTGGTCTGGTCACAGAGCAGTGAAGTTCGAATTTCGTCCGTACTTGAGCGCTGGGTCGAACCGCTGTGGAACCATGCTACAAAAGGACAAAGAACGCTTCCGCTAGCGAAAATGCAAATAACATTACAAAATAACGAAGAAAGTTGACGGATTAATTTTCAATTGGTTTATATAGTTTTTGATACAAAAAAAATGAACTTTCCATTAAACTCTATCGCGACACTTTGGCTTTTTCTTCTAAAGCTTGGAGCGTGTTCAAAAAAAAAAAAAATTTAACAATTGCAGCTTCTTTGGCAACAGGCTTCTTCTGGGTTCTGGAGCTCTTTGGCTTCTTTAGCTCCTGTTTTGCAGCTTCTTCTAATGTGTTCTTCTGGCTTCTGTAGCTTCTGCAGCTTCTTCTGGCAGCTTCTTCTTTCTGTGGCTTCTTCTATTTCTGTGGCTTCTTCTTAGCTTCTTCTGGCTTCTCTTTTCTTCTTCTGTTCTTCTGCAGCTTCTTCTGCTTCTGCTTCTGGCTTCTTTCTACGGCTTCTTTATTGTCTTCTCAGCTTCTTTCTGGCTTCTGTGGCTTCTTCCCCAGCTTCTCGCTCTTCTGCTTCTCTTCTGGCTTCTAGTAAAAGCTTCTGGGTTCTGGCTTCTGTCATGGCTCTTCTGGATTCTTCGCTTCTGCAGCTTCTTCTGGCTTCTGTGGCTTCTTCTGGCTTCTGTGGCTTCTTCTGGCTTCTGCAGCTTCTTCTGGCTTCTGTAGCTTCTTCTGGCTTCTGTAGCTTCTTCTGGCTTCTGTGGCTTCTTCTGGCTTCTGTGGCTTCTTCTGGCTTCTGCAGCTTCTTCTGGCTTCTGCAGCTTCTTCTGGCTTCTGTGGCTTCTTCTGGCTTCTGCAGCTTCTTCTGGATTCTGCAGCTTCTTCTGGCTTCTGTGGCTTCTTCTGGCTTCTGCAGCTTCTTCTGGATTCTGCAGCTTCTTCTGGCTTCTGTGGCTTCTTCTGGCTTCTGCAGCTTCTTCTGGCTTCTGTAATTATCCCCAAACCAGCTTCTTCTGGCTTCTGCAGCTTTTTTTCATGATTCTGTGGCTTCTTCTTATGCAGCTTCTTCTGCAGCTTTTCTTCTTTTTTAGGCTTCTTTGGCTTCTGGCTTCTTCTTGGCTTCTGTCTTAATATGTATTTCGCTTTTCTGTGGCTTCTTCTCCTACCGCAACTCAAGATTAATTAGTATTCATAACAATGCATTAATTACTTCTTCAGCTTTGGAGAACCGACACTGACCTTCAAACTGTGGCTTCAATGGATTCTTGGTCTGGGCTTTGTTTATCAATTCCTTTCTGTCCTTGACGTGAAAGAATTTACTTTGTTATCGACTTCTCAATATTACCGATATAATTTTTTCTCATTTTGAACGTTTACAAAACCATATTTCAGTTTGTTTACATTATCGGCTTTGCGATTTATAACAATTCCATTTCTTTTTCGGCTAACAATTACGTTTTACATTTCACATATTTCAAATTATTTACATTAACGGTTTCACAAATCATAACAATTCTATTTGTCTTTCGGCTTATATTTTACATTTCTCAAAGCATATTTTGTATCCAACGTTCCATTCGGCGTTTCTGGTCTTCTTCGGGCTTCTATATTTCTGACGCTTCTTCCAGATGCATCTTTTGTATCCAACTTCTTCTGAATGGCCATAACACGTCAGGCTATATGACGGCACCGTGTGGGATACAGGTGCGATTCCTAAAAAAGGACACATATTTTCTGTGAAATATCTCGGTAATTCAGGTCGGTAAATGTTGTTAATACTGTTTATTATAAACAAAACATTTACTTAAATATTTGTATCTATAAAAATAACATACAAACAAAAAATATATTAAAATAATTGTCCGACTTAGTCCATTTCATAATATATGATATTTGTTTACGTCAAGATACGCTTCGATCAGATATGAGCATTCAAAGGAAATCATAGGAAATTTGTAGTTTAAAAACAGTAATTTGACCTCGCTAAACAGACGCTTTCTCAGTAGCTAAATGATATAGCACATCAGGCATACAATGGTTCCGTGAGGATACAGATTCGATTCTTGTCGGAGGACATAATTTCTATAATGAAATTTAAAAGATATTCAGACTTAAGTAAATCTTTGCTTTAAAATTGTTTATTATTGAAAGAGAATTTACTTAAATATTTGTATCTATAAAAATAACGTATAAACAGTAAACATATTAATATATATGTATATTTGTCAACAACCTTTCTTTTAAACATCTTTCGTTATATGGCAGACAAGGAAAATTTTATTAATTTTTAGTCTTAATGGTTTTCTGGAGAGAGGTTTAACGACATCACATATTCTAACTTGATGGTGCTAAGAAATGATGTTTCATGAGAATAACAGAGTTTATAACATATTAATAAAAAATTTAATCTTTTTCCCCACCTGTACCACAAGAGGTTCGCCTGAGAGATTTATGAACAATGCAATCATCAGGTGCGGATTGAATACTCGGCACGTGACGATTAGATAGAAAGTTCAGTCCTTATTAGCTTCACTGGAAAATCAACACCCACGAAAGGTTCCAGATTTATATTCATTTTTGAATTTTCTTCTTTCTGAAAAGGTAGCAACACTTTTCTGCCTTCTTTACAGACAGCTAAATTTCTTAATTTACTTAATTTTAACATCCCCAATTTATAATTTATACATTCTGCTGCATCTTTTGCTTACAACCATACATTCTGTCTTCTTACAATTGATTCTTAAATCTTTCTTCTCTGTTGTTAATATTAAAAGAATAATGTTTGAAGAATGTTAATTAATTTTGTTGATTGTTTTAATTTAGTTTAGAAATTTCAATATATATATATATGTATATATATATTTAAATTGTGGTAATCGTTTTCTTTAACCAGAATCCAGGACAGGAAAATACTCAAAATACGGAACAAGGTAAATCTTATTATTTATTACTGTTGTTTTTCAGCCTGACCTAATAAACATGAATAAAACAGATATATACTGAATAAATACATAATATTGAAAATAATATAAGTAATCATAATACTACCTCATCTCAGAAATATAAACCCATGCATATATATCACAGATAGGAACACACTGAGATAGATACACGGATTATCTGTGATACTGATAACATTTAGTTCCTGAAAATGATCAAAATGTTTGAAAGTACTCCAGCAAAAATGTAATAAAATCATGAAAATTTGAAAAGATAATCCAAGATTTAACTGATGCGAAAATTCGAAAAATACAATAAAAATTACGATAAAAGACCTTGCCAGTTAAACTTAGCAAAATTTCTTTAAATTAATTCTTGCTGTATATATATATATATATATATATATATATATATTTATATATTAAAATTGATATTGTAGTATCAAGTTTGTGATTTTCTGGTTTTACGCTGTTGTGATCGTCAAAGGCAAACTGGATTTATTTAAAAAATATATATTTATTTTTATTTAAAAAATACAGTTTGTTTGATGATCGCAAAAGCGTGAAACCCAGATTTACAAATTCATATCCATACAACTTAATGTATATTATCTTTATCACAAAGATATAAAAAAGCTTTCAGGAATGACATAGTTTTAACCACAAACACATATTACATCCCAGTTATATATATATATATATATATATATATATATATATATATATATATATAAATGGTTTAAAAGCAAAGAAGAAGAGATGCCGCAAACGTTTTTTTGTAATGTGTTTTTTAGAAAAATTTTATGCATATTTTATTTTCCATAATTTTACTACACACGTTTCTGGTCTCCCGACCGTCTTCAGGTAAAAGGTGAATTTCCACATATTATTAAAAAATAATTAATTTTTTCTTTATGTTTTCAATGTTAAATATTCTCGATATGAGACATTCTGTGTTTTTGTGTTAGTAATCCGAATTTCTTTTTTGAATTGGCAATGAAGAGTTCTGCGCGAAGGGTCATAAAACAATTAAGGTTGGTCAAAGAAATGATGAATTACTT